CCCCCCCCCCCCCCCGCGTAGTTGTGGGGCACGCCTTTAATCCCAGTACTAGGGAGGCAGAGGCAGGCAGATCTCTATGAGTTCGAGGCCGGCCTGGTCTACAAGAGCTAGTTCCAGGACAGGCTCCAAAGCCACAGAGAAACCCTGTCCCGAAAACAAACAAACAAACAAACAAAAAACCAAAGAACACTGGACCAGGAGTGACTCTGCCTTAGTAAGAACCCATCAATTACCCCTGTAAATTGATCTTCTTTGTGACTCAAGAGTGGAGGTAGGTCTTACAGGACACTGCCTAGCACCAAGCATTTGAAAGAAACAGATGCAGAGAACCACAGCCAAGCATTAGGTGGTCCTTGGGGAATCCTTGTGAAAAAAAAAGGGGGAAGAAAGATTATAGGAGCCAAAGTGGTCAAGAACACCACAAGAAAACCCACAGAACCAACTAACCTGGGATCAACAGGGCCGCACAGAGACTGAACCACCAACTAGAGATCTTGCGTTCTATCCTCAGTAACTACCCAAGCTCAGATCCACTGGGAATTCATGGCAAAGACTGAGTTCCAACTCTTACCCGTACTTTGACCCAGTGACACCAGAGGTTCTGTGGTGGTGTAAATGAAAATGGCCCACATTGGCCCGCTAGGAGTGGCACTATAAGGAGGTGTGGCCTTGTGGGAATGGGTGTGGCCTTGTTGGAGAAAGTGTGTCCCTGAGAGGTGGGCTTTGAGGCTTCAGAAATTCAAGCTAGGCCCAACTGTCTCTTCCTGCTGCCTGTGGATCAGACTGTAGAACTCTCAGCTCCTCCAGCACCATGTCTGCCTGAATTCCTCCATGCTTCCTGCCATGATGATAATGGACTAAACCTCTGAACTGTAAGACAGCCCCAATTAAAAGTTTTCTCTGAGAAGAGTGTCTCTTCACAGCAATAGAAGCCCTACAACAGGTTTTTTTTTTCCTTTATGCAAAACCTGAAGTTGATCAAGGGCAAGCAATATCCCATTTTATCCAGGGATATATTAGCCTGGATCTCTGTAGGGTCAAAGCCTGTGCTTTGGAAAAGATAGATCTAGAACCTACAAAAATGATGCTGCAAAGGCTTCATAGAAAGAATGAGTTCTTTAATAACCAGAGCTGGACCAAAGTGAGCTACTCCAAGACAAGAGAAAGTTCCTGTGCACACATTGAATAATATCTGTAGTGGCCATTCTGGGAAGGAAAAAGCTGGACATGATGTCAACAACCTTCCAACCTAAGATATTAAAATTTATTGGCAGGCATCTGGGCATCATATTAAGCTATTCCCTTTTTTGCTTGCTTGTTTTGTCTTGGCAAAAGTAAATTGTATTTTTCTTTCAAAAATTTCTACTGATTGTATGGTTTCATTGTAGAAGCAGAAGAGAAACTGAGAAAAGTGATTTCTACTCGGGATTTTCAGATACAGCTTATGGTAGAGTAGGGTGGTGGAAATATACAAAGTATAACATAAGGAATTTAAAGTGCTTTTAAATTTAAAGTGATATTAAATTTAAATTTAATATCATGGCTTTGGCTCTGACAAGCTTCAGGACTTTGGGCAAGTTGTTTAGACCTTCTAAAATGTTTCTTTGTCTGAAATGACCCACTTCACATGGTTATTGTTACAGTAAAGTCACATATGTAAAGCACTTAACGCACTGTACCTAGTACATTGGCAATGAGTAGCCAAAACAGGTGATGTGACAGCCGTGGACTGTCATAGAGGAAGGCTGGCTGGGGAATATCATGTGCCTTTTAGCTTCTGTGTTGTATGGGTACTTGACCCGAGGCAGTTACTGAATAGTTCTAGATGCTGAGGGTTAGGGAGTTCATGAAAAATAATGTAATAAAGGGAAACATTTTTAACTCATTTTTTACACAACACAGAACCAGGGTTTTAGATTCTGACAGATACAATTTTTCTTCTTTGTCTGGTATCTGTTAATATCTTAACTAAGTGTGTTAGCCCACCTAAAGTTCCATGACCTAACCTGCGAAGTAGGAGCACATTAGTTGGGATCCTTTTCCTTGCCAGTGTCTGGATGCAGTGGCTTCAACAACTGTGGCTGATTTGTCCAATCTCTCACATATTCCAGAGGCTGTTCATTTCAAGGAAGATACTGCAACTCAGTTGTTCAGAAGCAGATAGTCTTGGCTCCCTGTCATGGTCAAGAGAAGTCTTTAACAGCTCCAAAAAGTATATCCTCATGTCCAAATACCCAACGCTTCAAGGTGGAAAAGGCTCCCTCTTGTATGGTTTGCTTTTTGGCAAGAGAAAACTGTTGCTCGGAAGTCCCTAGACAGGTTCTTCTTGGATACAGTTGACCAGCTTGGAGTCATGTGTGCATCCTTATGCCTATCCCTGGTTAAATGTCAGGACACCATGGCTGGATCTTTGTTGATCATCTGGAAAGTGCTCCATGACAGCACACATCTGAAGAAATCAAGTTTATTAGTAAGAAAAAATGTAGAAGGTTGCAAGAAAATGATAGCAGTGCACCCAAATATCTGCCAAGGTATTGAAAAGTTAATTGCCATTACAAACCATTTAGCACATAATAAATACTCCATGTATATTTATTTGCTCCTTTAATAGTGAAAACATCTTAAAGCCATTATCATCTCTAGCTAAACTGAGAGGTATTGATTTACAAAGATACATTAGAAATTTCTTTCTTTTGAGGCGGGTGTAAGCTAGTTTCAAGGCTGGGTTTCTCTGTGAATAGCCCTGGCTGTTCTGGAACTCACTTTGTAGACCAGGCTGAGAAATTTCTCTTTCAATCATAAAGAAAATTACTATATGTATATATATATATTCTTATATTTATATAATATCTTCTCTTAAAATTTAAAATCATATTTATGTATAAATTTTGATTCTCTAATTCATTTAAATGGTAATTCAATTTGAAATCGAATTCAACATTCGTATCAAGTTTTGGCAGACCGTTGCAGCATGGTACATCAATATCAACATGCCACAGTAATCCTCATCATCATTCCTTGGTGGGGGGTGTCTTAGGAGATGTCTATTAATAGACATTGTGTTTGGGGGTGTTACTGAATTATCATATGCAGTTCAGAAGCCTATTGGCTCAAATGGCAGGTGAATATTGATTTATAACAAAAAAGACCAATGTCAGTTTATCCAAAATCAGAGTTTTAAAGGCAGGCTTGATTAAATATCTATTCCATAATGATTTTTCCATATACAGAAGTGGCTTTATGTTTTCTCCTTTTCTTTTTTTCTAAACAGAGTTTAATTATATATTCCAGGATGCACTTGAACTCCAACCCCTTCTGCTTCGTCCTTCAAGGATAATACAGAACTGCTACCATGTCAAGCTTACGTACTCTTGAAATACTGTAGCCTACACCTTCCTAGACACCCCTTGACCAAAGTATTGCACAGGGGTTATTGTTCTAGAACAATGAAGGGATCTTTATTGACTGAGTGTTGTGTACATTTTGTGAGCCTACTATGTGCCAGGCACTCTAGGAGAAGCTTCAGAAACAGTTTCTTGTGGAATCTTTTTATAATCCTATGAGTGGGAAGGATGAAGCCCGGAGAAGTTGCTTGCCTTAAGGTCAAGCCACTAACAGAGGGGAGAATCTCAACCTGAATCCCCATTTCCAAAGCCCATAGAGTCCCCGGTACATTACAAAGGCCCCAGAAGATTTTTAACACTAACCAGAAATGTCATTCACACATTTCCTTAACTACCTTTCTTCTCTCCCTTCTCCCTTCCTTGCTTTTTCCCCCTTTCTTCCTTCCTTCTCAAATCACAATGAGTATCCATTAATACAGCTATTTCTAATCATCATTAATTAGAAATAAAAACAACCCAACCAATTATTTTCATTTCCATCTTCTACACAAATGCAGGCGCACATCACTGTGCTGAGAGGCTTAAGTGAATGTGTGATTATTCTATAAATAAGCCATCTCAATCTGCTATTTGTGCCCAGGAAAACTTGGTTGCCTACTGATGGGTTTTTACACTGATAATCAAATCCCTCACCCTAAAAGTGAAGAGTAGATATATAAGCCAACTAGAAGACAAAAAAATGTAATATTTATTTCTTCTCATGCTACATTTGAAAGCAGAGCTTGACATACACCTAGGTTTCCTTCTGGACCAGGGTAGTAGCTGTGAGCATGTAATACTTAAACATGTCATAGGAGCCTCCATCCTCTCAGGGTGTCCTCAGCTGAGAGGCCAACTCACTTTGAAGTCCACCATCCATTCCCTCAGTAACCTCAAGAAGCCATCAAAACTCCATTGTCTCAAGTACAAGCAATTCCGAAGGCTCCTCATGCTGACAGTGCCCCCTGAACCTCAGATGCACTTACCCTGAAGCTATGGCCTCCTTTCCAATTTCCCTTCCACTCTTCCTCTCACTCCCATGAGATTTTCCTGAGGTTTTTTTTTTGTTTTGTTTTGTTTTTTGTTTTTTGTTTTTTTGTCTTGGGGGTTTAATTTTTGTTTTTGTTAGGTTGCTTTGGGTTTTTTGTTTGTTTATTTGGGGGGATTGCTTTGGTTTGGTTTAGTCTGGTTTTTTGAGACAGGGTCTCTCTACATTTCCCTGGCTGGCCTAGAAATGACTATGTAGAATAGGCCAGCCTTGAACTCACAGAGATGGGCCTACCTCTGCCTCCCAAGTGCTGGGATTAAAAACGTATGCTGCCATACCCGGCCAGTGTGTAGATTTTCTTGAAAGACATTATTTCAGCAATTTCACAGACCCAGGTCCTTTTTTTGCCTCGAGCTCTTTTAAAGAATCCAGTTAAGATGTTTGGCTCAGAAGTGATGCCATAATGAAACATCTAAGTCTGGGTCTGTGGTCCACGCCTTTAATTCTAACACTGAGAAGAAGATCTCTTTGAGTTTGAGACCAGCCTGGTCTACTTAGTGAGTTCCAGGTGAGCCAGAACTACATAATGACATGCAATCCAGTCTCACAAAAGCACAGAGAGAGAGAGAGAGAGAGAGAGAGAGAGAGAGAGAGAGAGAGAGAGAGACTTCTAACTTCTCACACACTAAAGTTAACTTTACCACCTCACTCCAACCACAGGGACATTGGGACACCAGCAATAATGTACTAATTTCTGTGAGAGAGGTCCCCTTAAGTGCTTTATTCTAACCATTGTTTTTCAGGGCAGAAAGTCACAACTTAAAGAGAAGGCCGTACTCCAGTATGGGCACAGCTAGTGAACTGTATAGAAATCAATTTCAGTTGCTCTCAGACATTCCTCATGATTCCTCCGGACTCAACCAACCTATACAGCTGCAGTGATGGCCATACCCACTTAACCAACCTATACAGCTGCAAAGATGGTGGTGCCCACATCTGGAAACACACGACTGGTGGAAAAACTCCTTCTCTGCCATCCATACTGAAAGCAGTAAGAGAAACAGACAGGCAAGCAGATATCAAACTTACAGATTCCAGTCCTAGTGCGGTCTCATATGATCACAACATGAACTAAGACAAACTGCTACACCTTTCTTTTTTTCTTTAGCACTTCTTCTTTAATGTGAAAGTAACTTTTAAAAAGTACCTTTCTCATGTGGTTATGATTTTTAAAAGAAAAAGCAAATTGGTTTGTATAAAATGCCTGGCATCCCTCCTGGCATAATAATCTTCCATCAACAGGAGGACCATTGCACATCACCAGTGCAAAACACCCCACTCAATTTTGGAGGACCATTGAAGAGAAAGTGCCACCCTCTGGTGACACAGAAGAAAGCATCCTGTGAGGGAGGAGATTGTCTAGAGAAGCGGCTGTGTCTTGAGGAGCCACTGTAACCATTATCTAGTGAGAAAACGCACAGTCCCCAAACCCAGTGTAGGAAATCCAGTCACCAAATAAAGCAAACCACCTAAAGTAGAAGTGGTACCTAATAATTCATTAAGGAAGCTGTGATCATCTCAACTATGCACTCTTACATAAGTAGTGTTTGTAACAACAAGAACTTGTCTGCTGAGTGGAGAGTATTGGTAATAAGAGTCTGCGGTGCGTATTGCAAACTGTCTAAAGTGAGAAAAGTCACAATTGAAGGACACAAGTACTCTAATTTTGAAAAACATATACTTGACAATGAAGAACAAATAGCTTGCAGGAGTGTCAGCTTTGAAACTCACAGCAGCAACCACCAATAGGCACTTGAAACATAATTTTTCTGCTCCTGCTCCTGCTCCTACCCTTGAAAAGGAGAAGCTTTGGAGCCAGGACTTTCCATGTAGTGTTTTATAAGCTGTGGAGGTTGTTCCAATGCATGCAAAAGTTGGAGATACAGAGACGGTCCATGAGTCTGTGCTCTGTCTGACTCACCACTCAGAAGCAACTCTAGAATGCTGGGTTTTATCTGATGCTGCCCAGCAACAGAGATGGGCAACATGGCTGTGTGCCAGACTAATCACCCTTTCCATGCACAGTTGGCCTTCAGCTGCACCATAATTTCTTGAAACTTTTATTAGTGAGAGATAAATTCCAAGGACTCCTTGACAACCCTAAATGGAAGGACAAACTTTGTTCGCAACCTACTAACTTTCTTAATAACATCTGTCTTCATCGAGCCTCTCAGCCATAAAAACATCACGAGATTCATCAGACATAGAGAAAAAGATCTGCTCACCGTGGGCATATAACAGCTTTGATAAAACTTAGACCTAGAAAACTACAACTAACTGAGTCCCCTTGACCTTGTCTCAAATTCACTCAACGTGGAAACTACATTTAAAATGGACATAATGACTGTCCTAAAATATAATTACATGCATATATAGGGCTTATAGTAGAAACTGGTGTGTGTGTGTGTGTATGTGTGTGTGTGTGTGTGTCCAGCCACTAAAACCACTATTCTGTATAACAATATTCTTCCCTAATATACTAGGTCAGGATCAACACAGGCAATAGATGAATAATTAACTCTTCACAGCATCCTGTTTACTAGGGAGAAGGATGATGGAGGACATGAAGCAAGCACCGTGTTCACAGACTCTGTTCTATCGCGTTGGTTTTCTTTCCTTTGAACTCTGTTTTAATCAGAGCAGGTTGATTTCCACTTGGTGAAAATGTTTCATTTCAAACCACTTGGGGTTTTATAGGTTTTCTACCACATTTTATTGGATCCTTGTAAATCTTATGAAATTCTGGAATGTCTAGACCATAAAAGCCTGTCATTTGAACGTGTTTTCTGTGGAGATGTTTCTCCTCTACGCAGACTCACGTGTTTGCTTGCACAAATTTGTAGAGGAGGGGAAACAAACTTTTAAGATAGTCCCCCACTGGGCCTGAGTTAAAAGATCACCTTTTCAGCTGACTGGAATTTTACTTGTCACAGACAGAGCCTTTATTGAACTATCAAAAAGGCTGGAGCCACTCATAGTAATCATAATAAATTTTACTTCTCAGTATGCTCTACTGGTATCTCTCACTTTCAGTTCCATTCAATATATATTAAATATACTAAATATATCTGTGAGAATGTTAAAATCG